AGACACTGCACAGGCATTAAATATATCGAGATGCTAGACATAACTTCAATAGTGGTCAACACTAGACCTCAGGGCTCTTGGACAACACTGATGTTTATGAAAGAGACGGTAATGCTCAGACCAAATAGGAGATGGAGATGACCAGAGTGGGAGAGCCCAGAAAGTCCAAAGCATGTTTGGGGAATGGATGCTCTTGCCTTCCACTCCCCTCGGTGACAGATGGGCACCAGAGGGTCATATCAGCAGGAGCAAGTTGTCCCTCAAAACCACATGCTTCTATTTTGGAGATTATGAATTTTCCTGAGGCTCTGATAATGTGGTAAAGTATACTTAAACTTGACTATTTTAGTCATTTTGAGTACAGTTATTTGGCATTAAGTACTTTCACATTGGTGTACAACTGCCATTCCTATCTATCACCAGAGTTTTCTTGGCTTCCCAAACTGCACCTGTTAAGGGAAAGGATGTCCTCAAGGAACTCTGTGCAGAGTTTTGTTGACTCCACCTTTTATGCCAGCTTTCTGGATTTCACCCCCTGCTCCAATGATTGGAAAACTACAATTTTCAGCAAAACCAAGGAGACAACTGTGAGAAATCAAGGTGGAGCTAAGCAGGCATTCTGGGGCTTTGAGGGATAAATAGAGAGCGGTTTTCAATGGTTGCTCTGGAGAGGAAATGGCGCTCTCTCTCTCTCTGGAGCAACGGCTCTCAGACTGTGTGACTGGGGGCTAGCAGTTTTGTTAACTAGAGCTCCAAGTAAGGGGAGCTAGTAAGATAATCCAGTTACCTTGTATCTCTTTCTCTTTCCCTGGGTTGCTCCTTTTCCTGTCCTCTTTTTTTTTCTTTTAAAGATTTATTTATTTATTCATACAGAACTGGGGTACAGGCCAGAGATGTGGAGGGTGAGAGGATTCACCAGAGACAGAGTGGGGAGCAGAACAGGAAGATCTATGAAGTACACTGCTGAGGGGAGCAGCGGGCGGGTCAGGAGAGGTCTGCCGCACTATGTGGGTCACCTATGGGGCAGGAGTTCATCCAACTCATGCGGAAGTGGCTTTAGCTTCTCAGTGCTGTGCTTTAACCTGCTGCGCCACCAGGGAGGGCCTCCTGTCCTCTTTTGTAAATAAACCCATTACCCTTTTGTGTGTGCCTGCAGAGCAATTAAATTTTAAGCTTACGGGTGAGGACCCATAGACAGGCAGCCTAGTTTCACTCTGGACTACCCTGTAACATACCCACTAAGTAACACCTCGGGCCCTGTTTCCTCCATCTCATGGAAATCACTATTCTACTTTCATTTGCTATGGATTTGTTATTCTAAACACCTCATAAAAATGCAATTATACAATATTTGTCCTTTTAGGATTGACTTATTTCACTTAACGTGTTGTCCTCAAATTTCATCCATGTTGGAAATGTATGAAAATAACCTCCCTTTTTTTTTCACTTATAACATCAGCTTTTAAGTAATTTCACTTTTAAAATAATACAATAGTTTATTTTTGCATCATTTTGTGCCTTTTTCCATCTCAGTTGTAATCTCTGTGGGCTTCCTATCACCAAATCACCCATGGGACATCACCATAGTCCAGTGTATTTCTCTTCTCCCACTGTTTTTTGATCCCTTTCCCCACTCCACTCCATAAAATGTCTCTGGTATATAGCTGTTCATTATTATTGTTATTTTCTCCATATTCTCCTTCTATGAGTGAAACCACCTGGCATTTTTCCTTTTCTTTCTTGCTTATTTCACTAAGCATGGTCTTTTCCAGCTCCATCCATGTTGCTGCAAAAGGCATGTATTTATCTTTTTTGGTTGCTGAGCAATATTCCATTGTGTTTATGTGCCACATCTTTTTAATCCAGCCATTCCACTTTTGGGCATTTGGATTGTTTCCATGTCTTTTCAGTTGTGAATAAAGCAGCAATAAAGATGGGGTGCAGATATCTTTTAGAATCAATGTTTTTGTGTCTTTTGGGTAGATACCTAGGAGTGGGATTGCTGGGGTCATATGGAAGCTCCATGTTTAGCAGTTTGAGGAACCTCCAAATAGTTTTCCATAGTTGGTTGTACTAGTTTGCATTCCCATGAGCCATTCAGGAGAATTTATTTTTCTCCATATCCTCACCAACATTTGTTGTTGCTAGTTGTTTTAAGATGTGCTGAAATCAGCCTTCCTTTTTAAGGCTGAATAATTCTCTGCTGAGTGTATATATCAGGGATTGCAGATGACCTCATAGAGCAGAAGCGCAACTCAGCTCTAAGACAAAGATTATATTAATAGTCACTGCCCCTGGGAAGACAGGTGGCGAAGGACAACTAGTTACCTGCTATACACTGTGTCCTCTCCATCCTACCTGAGTCAGGGTAAGACCTAGAGTGGAGAGAGTTGAGGGTGGGATAAGAGGAGACGTAAGGAGAGAAGGAAGAGAAGAGGCTTGGTGTAGGAGGCAAAGAGAAAGTGGGGGAACTGGGAGAAGAGTGGAATTGGTGACTTTCAACATCACTGGGGAAAATAAGTTCTTTTGTCTCAAAGGGAAATGAACAAATTGAGCTTAGTGTCTGATAAAAAAAGAACAAAAGTAGCTAACACCCCAGGATTTCAGTTGCAGTCATGAAAAGCTTTATCAGATGAGAAAAATTAAATGGGAAGTAAGCTACTTTTGAAGCCCCACTTAAAAACATTAAAAAACTGAAATAGCTATAATTTTATTTCAGCAATAATTCTTCAAAACTAAAGGCAAAGCAAAAATATCTTAAGCAATAAAAAAGAAGAGAAACCTCAAAAAATTTCAAATGACTGAAATTATTCAGAGTATGTTTCTTGGGACAACTACAGCAAAAATGACTTGGAAACATCTAACCACTTGTAAATTTAATGGCATATTTCTGAATAATCTGTGGGCTATGGAAAAAACCACATAAACATAAGAAAATAGTTCAAATTGAAAGAAAATGAGAACATGACATGTGGAAACTTCTGAGATGCAGCCAAAGCAGGGATTAGAAAAACATTTATGGTCTTAAAAAAAAAATCCAGATATTACTGGCAGTGCTTGGATGACATAAAGCAGAGATAAGAGGGAGGCCTGGCTGAACCCTTAGGGTAAGTTTTCCCAGGGAAGTAGAATTGTTTAATAAGAAGATAGTTTTTGGAAAAAAAAAAAGAAAAGGAAAGGAAACCTAGATGATATATCAACTGACCAACCAGAAATAAGTCCTTAAGAGTGATCTTTTAGGGTAAGGGAAATAATCATGTGGAAATTAACTAATGTTGAAGGAATTATGCTTAGCAGAAAGGGAAGTTCATTGCTAAATCCAGATAGTGAATGTAAATACAATATGATCGTTGTATTATGTGCTTTCAAATAGGTGGAATTTAAACCCCTGGTGCTAAAGCACAAGGAAGAAGATTAGGAGTAAGAGCGCTGACTCCTCAACATCACTGAAATGGTAGAGGTTACTTACAATAGATTTAAAAGTTAATGATGCCCATTTATAATTGCTGGAATTACAACATAAGAAGAGTGAAAAGAGATGTAACTAAAAAATCATTGAGAATAATAAATGTAATTAAAATATTCTTTAATAATAAACATCCTTGAGTAAGCCAAAAGAATGTAAGGAAGGAGAAAAAAGGAACAGAGACAAATGGATGAGTACAAAACAAATAGTAACATGGTAAATTTGAATTCTGACATATCAGTAATGGTAAATGCGCTATCAGTGATCAGTAATCTGAGTAATTATAAATGAAATAAATCCTCCAAATAAAATACTGTTAGCCTGATTTTAGAATTGATTTGCTGCTTCCATGGAGATGTATTATTTATTAAGGCGCCATCAGCAAGGAAAAAGATGCATAAAGATCTATCATGAAAATAGTGCTGATGTAGCTACCATAACATCAAAGTGGACATCAGAACAGTGGTTACATGGATAAAAAGGTACAGTCACAATAATGAAATGGCCTCCTGTTAGAAAGGTGTCAAATTCTAGTCGTCTAGGTACTTATTGGCAGAGTTTTAAAATTCACAGGGAGAATTGGGATAAAAAAAGAATAGAAAAATTCACGATCATAATCATAGTGGGAAATGGTAACTCATTTCTCAGTGAAAGGACATAAAAAGAGACTGAAACCCCAAATCAAATCCAGTTAAGTCAAACCCTATAAGTCAGAGTAAATATATGGAAGGCTTGGACAAAATGTCATACTGACACACATAGATAGCTAACCTCACCTGAAAATTCAGAATGCACATTCCTTTCAAGAGCATATAGAAATTAGACATATCCTGGGCCATAAAACAAGTCTCAACAAATGTTGAAGAAGGGAAATAACAGAAAGGTGGACTTGAGCCAGAAGTCAATCAGAGAAAAGGTGAGTTAAAACAACTGCTATGGTAGAAATTAAACCATGTGGCTGAACAGCTCACAGATAAAGAAGTCACTGGAACATATTTTAAGGTGGGAGAAAATGGGTGTCCCCAGATCAGGTGGGATGAAGAGGGTCAGGGCAGCCCTGTGCGGTTGGCCCCTCACCAACACCCCTCGCACCATTGCCGGCTGCACAGCCTGCACCCACTCACTCCTGGCCCAGCTGGTGGTGTGGGCTCCGGCCAAGGTCAGCAGGCTTGGCCACTGCCCCCACAGCCCAGGGATCATCAGAGTCTCCAGGAATTCATGTGACTCTGGTAGTCCTTGCTGCACTGAGGGAGGCAACACTCAGCAGGAGTGAACCTGCCGCAGCTGGAGGGAAACTTTTGCGGCACAGTCCTGGAAATGTGTGGAGACAGAAGTTGCATAGTTGGCCCTGTGTCCACGGCTTTTATGACGAAAGGGAGGAAAAGGGGATCCCCTGCGCTGTCTCCTGTTGGTGATATGGGGAGGTACAAAGCAGGGTGATGAGGAGGAGGCGTGGGCTGGGGCTGCACGGGACACCAAGCTGTGGAGGGGGCCCAACCACTGTGGCCACCCTTGGGTACTGAGGCTAAGCAGCATGTTCCTGAAGGTGCCGCTGCTCCTGGGGCTCATTTTGGTGGGCACTCATATCTGGACGATTCAAAAAGAATTTGAAGACATTAGTAAGAATGAGGATTATTTTGTGGGTTCGGTGGAGTTTGCTGTGGCTCAGTTCAATGATAACAGTGGGGAAGAGGATGCATACAAGTTGCTGGAAGTCAGGCGAGCCCAGCAGAAGGTGAGTGGATCCAAGGTCAGATTTGCTGATGAAGCACCCTATCATGGGCACGATATCCCAGGGGCTCTGATGTGGTGGGTCCCACCTGTGACCACATGCTGAGGAGACAGGAGGACGAACTCCCTCCCTGAACAGGGCACAGCCCTTCCCATTTGCTGACCCTCTGCCTCATCTTCGGCCACATACTTGCCTTGGGCCCAAGAGTCTACAGAGCCCCTGCACCAATGTTACTGCTGCTGAACTAGCCCTGAGCAGCTCAGGGTTAGGGTGGCCATCATGGGGCTACAGGTGCATGAGTGATGTGAGTGTGTGTGTGCTGTTGGGCACAACTGAGAGTCTTGTGTCAGTTGCAGGAATTCCTGAGACCCAGTCAATTTCCTAGACATCTCTAGGTCAGCTCAGTGAGGAGAGATCTTTCTTGGGTGATTGCTTCTGCGTTTGAGCTCCTTGTCAGTTTTCTTTCCTCTGTTTAAGGAAATAAAGTCATACCCCTCACTGTCCTCCTGTCGTAACGGGCACCCAGGACCTGCCTGCTCTACAAAGAGCCACCTGGATGGAACTTTGAAAGACAGGCCCTTGTGCAGCCAGCTCCTACATGAAGAGACAGTGTTCCTAGAGCCCCCTAATGCCCCTGCCTGGATGTCTCCCTGCCCCCCAGAAGCTGGGCAGGCTGGCGCTAAGCAGTGAGCTGATGGCCCTGCTGCTCGTTCTCCAGAGGAGGCTCCTCTGTGTGTTCTGGGTGTGCTGATGCGCATGCGTGCAGCTGAGTGGAGCTGGTGGTAGGATGGAGAGCGGGTGCCGGGAACCTGCTGTCTGTGTGTCCAGGGCGCTGGCGCTGTGGCTGCAGGTGTTTGGAGCAGGTGTGCAGCAGGCAAGCACCAGGTACATTTAGAGCTTATATACTTGTAGAGAAATGCACATGACATGAGTATGCTATATATATGTACACTCTTGTCTTCGCTGGGTCTTCTGTTTGCGTCTCCTTTATTTATTTACTTTATGTTATTATTATTTTTTAAAAGATTTATTTATTTGTGCATACAGAACCTGGGTACAGGCCAGAGGTGCAGGGATGGTGAGAGGATTCACCAGAGACAGAGTGGGGAGCAGAATAGGCCAACTGATGAAGTATACTACTGAGGGGAGCAGCGGGCGGGTCAGGAGAGGTCTGTCTTGCCATGTGGTCACCTCCGGGGCAGGAGGTCATCCAACTCATGCTGAAGTGGCTTTAGCTTCTCAGTGCTGTGCTTTAACCTGCTGCGCCACCAGCAAGGGCCCTGCCTTTCCTTTTTTTTTCATTTCATTCCTGAGAAGCATATATTTAGTGACTGTTTTATAAATTCCTTTTTTTTCTTGAATTGAGGTAATGTTGATTACAACACCGTGTTATGATCTGGAGTTTCTGGATCACATCCTTCAGGTGTATGTCATCACAAGCCACCAAGGTGGCGACTGGAAGTCCCCCCACAGGCCATGTGCCTCTTCGCACTTACTCTGCCCCCTTTGACCTCCTCCTCCGGTAGCCTCAATTCTATATTCATGTCTCCAGGCTTTGTTATTGGTTTGGTTTTATCTGAGTCTTTGTTTTATTTCTTCCTATTCCATATGTAAGTGACAACATCTGGTATCTGTCTTTGTCCTTCTGACTGCTTCACTTAGAACAACCCCCTCTAGTTCTACGAAAACAGTATGGAGATTTCTCAAAATATTAAAAATAGATCTGAATAGGATTCAGCATATAGATAAAATAATAGATCAAAATATGATTCAGCAATTCCACTCCTGGTTGTCTACCCAGAGAATGCAAAAACACATACCTGCTGTGTTCACTGCTGCACCATTTAGAACAGCAAAGTTATGGAAACAACCTAAGAGCCTTGAGACCAGATGAATGTGTTAGGAAATCTGGTACATACAGACATGGGAATACTGCTCACTGAGAAAACGGTAAGTTCTTGCCTTTGTATTTTCTTCTTGACAGAGGTGGACCATGATATTTTTAATGGATCTGGCGATGGGCCGCACAATCTGTAAAACACGTGAAGATATTGATGAATGCCCCTTGCAAGAAGCACCGGGAGACAAAAAGGTTTGAGAACAAAATCAGCCCAACATATCATGAATCTTCTTAGAATGAAAAGTAATAGCAAGGGAAGGATTTAGACCTATCTCCTTTCTTCTCATTCCAAATGTGTGAGGTTTTTCCTCCAAGTAATGGTCTGTGACAGCAGCTTGCCCTCTACTTTAACTCTCTCTGGAGGAGCATGAGCCCCACAGGTTTACGGTTCATTCTCAAGGGGCTGCCTCCCACTTCAGGTGCTAACTGCCACTAGTAGGGGCCCAGGTTACCCACAGCTTTATCCAACTTGGCTGCAAATCAGAGCTTCCCATGACCACCTCCCTCTTTGAGCTTGACAAATTTGCTAGGGAGGCTCACAAAATCCAGGGTGACACTTCAGTTTACTAAATTAGTGAAGGATATGGCAGGGATTACAAATGAAGGTATACTTAGGGTGAGTTCTAGGAGGGTTCTGAGCTCCCGGTAGATTTGGGGTGAGCTATCCTCCCCAGACTCTATACTAGTATGGTTTTATGGAGGCTTCCTCACTTTGGCATGCCTGATATTTACTTCCATTTCTAGTCTCTGTCCCTTCCTGGAGGATGGGGTGCAGGGCTGAAAACTCCATGCTTCTAATCATGGCTTGGTCTTTCTGGTGACTGGCTCCCATCCAGGAGTCATGTAGGAGCCCCCCAGAGTCACCTCAGCAGAACAAAGTATACCCTTATTGGCTCTTATCTCAGCATTTTATAAGGGTTTCAGGAATCCTGTGTCAGAAGCTGGGGCAGAGATGAACAGATAGTTTCTATTATCTCAGGCCTATGGAAAGGGCTTAAGAAATTCACCAGGGAAATGCCAATGTAGAATGAGGGATCCCCACTATGTCTGGTGCTCCCCCAGAGGAGAAAGGGTCAGCTGCTATTGAGTGGGGTAAGGGCGTGCCCAGCCGGCCCATCTCCTGGGCATCAGGGGCATAGACGATGCCCCGCAGACAGGGGTGTCCCCCCAGGCCCCTCTCAAGGCTCAGCCTCAAGTGGGTAGATTCAGCAACCCCTGTCCATTATCCAGGTGGAGGCTGGAGTGTCTCCCGTCCTGCCCCAGGCCACTGTTTGATTTTGCTTTTGTTTTCTTTGTAGGTTCTCATCCCGAGTTCCTATGCGCTACTTAAACAGCACTGTTTGCTAGGTGCTCTCATGTGCTGGTTGTTCTAATTTTTATTATCCCCTCTTTTAGGTGCTCTGTACTTTTATTGTGGATGCCCGGCCTTGGTTTTCCCAGTTCATCCTCTTGAACAGCACCTGCCTGCAAATATGATGCAAAGGAGTCCCTGGCTTCTCACAGCAGAAGCTCATCTTCCCCTGAGGATGGCAGGCAGTCTGCAGTCCTGGGTTTGTGTAGCATCTGCGAATTAAAGGCATTTGGAGCACTTTGGGGTCCCTGTCGGTTTTGTACTCTTTATGATTCATATTCTCTCATTCAGTGACAAGTGTGGGAAAATGTATTGTTATTGTCCTTACCTTGGCTGTAGGTGCAGTGCTGAGTGAACAGCTTCCCTAGGTCATGTGAGTCCCTCCTTACATCTTGAATCTTTTGTGTCTTCCTCACTCCCTCCCGCCACGCCTGCCCTCCCAGTGTGCGTCCTTCCATGCAGCCTACACCCATTCACCCCCTTCCCTTTCTGCCTCCCTCCCTCGTCCCTCCTTCCCTCCTTCCTCCCCTCCTCCCTCCCTCCCTCCTTCCCTCCTCCCTACCTTCCTTCCTCCCCTCCTCCTTCCCTCCCTCCTTCCCTCCCTTCCTCCTTTCTCCCCTTCCTCCTTTCCTCCCTCTTTCCCTCCCTCTCTCCTTCCCTCCCTCCCTCCTTCCCTCCTCCCTACCTTCCTTCCTCCCCTCCTCCCTCCCTCCCTCCTTCCCTCCCTTCCTCCTTTCTCCCCTTCCTCCTTTCCTCCCTCCTTCCCTCCCTCTCTCCTTCCCTCCCTCCCTCCTTTCCTCCTTTTTCCCCCTGCCTCCCTTCCTTCCTTCTTTCCTTCCTCCCTCCCTTCCTCCCTCCCTCCCTCCCTCCCTCCTTTCTTCTTTCCTTCCATTATTTAATACTTCAGTCTCTCCATGCCCCTTCTTGATTCCACTCTAAAGGAATTGTGTGGACCAGGTTCATAGTGAGTGATCCTTCTGCCAAGGGGCCATTCCCATCACAGGGGTGGAGAACATGTGACTGAAGCTGACAGAAAACTCTTTCCCCACCAGTTCTCTAGTATCTCTGAGGAAGGCTCAGCAGATGGCCATCCCAGATTCCAGCTGCCCCCTGATCCTATGTCCTCCGGGGGGGGGGGGTCAACACCATTTGCTATCACTGGAACAGGTCCTGTGGTGACAGACACCCATCTTTTTTTTAAGATTTATTTATTTATGCATACAGAACTGGGGTAAAGGCCAGAGGTGCAGGGGTAAGAGGAATCACCAGGGACAAAGTGGGGAGCAGAACAGGCAGATTGATGAAATACTGCTGAGGGGAACAGCGGGCCAGCCAGGAGAGGTCTGTCGCACCATGTGGGTCACCTCTGGGGCCGGGATCTAACTTGCACTGAAGTGGCTGTGTCTAGCTTGTAGTGCTGTGCTTTAACCTGCTGTGCCACCAGGGAGGACCAAGATTTATTTATATTTATGTATACAAGACCTGGGGTGTAGGCTAGAGGCATGGGGGCTGAAAGAATTCACCAGAGACAGAATGGGGAACAGAACATTTGGATATACTGAAATAAACTGCTGAGGGGAGCAGTGGGTGAGACAGGAGAGGTCTGCTGGGCCATGTAGGTCAGCTCCCTGGCCAGGGAGCAGACTTGTACTGCAGTGGCTACAGATAGCTTCACAGTGGTGCCCTTCACCCCTTGTGCCACCAGGGAGTTCCCAGATGCCCATCTTATGGTGAACATCCTAGAGATGGCAGAGAGAAGGTATGTGAGGTGTGTCTGGGGCAGAGAGGCTGTGGCAATGCAGTGGAGGGGCACTTCAGAAAGGAGAGGCCGAGGGATCTTTCATCTTCCCTTCCAGATTTCTGGGAATCTGATTTAAGCATCACTTATTTGAAAGTGTGTCACTTTCCTGATTTATCTGTCTGCATGATGTGTCCACAGACATTGAGGAGAGAGAGTTTTCCAGGCTTTCCCCACATTCTGAAAGGGGCATAGATAAACTTATGAGGGAGTGTGTGTGTGGCGCAAGACTGCTTTGACCACCCTTTGCTTCAGAGTACTCAGTCACAGAGTGGGGAGCCACTGTTTATGGGTCCTGTGCCAACCTAGGATAACCAGGCCCTGCTGAGCTCTTCTCTGTGTTGCTCACCAGTAAGTACCTTCACTTCAACACTCATTGAATTTAGGAAAACTTGGTTCCTGCTCTTGTCAGTTTTGCTCCATTTGAACTCAGATTTGATAAAGTTCACAAAGGGCTTTTCAGATGGTCCCTGTGTGGTGCCAGGCCCTTTACAGTTAGGCCCCAGACGCTGTTACGTCGCACCCTCTGCTGCTGACTAGTGAAACACCAGTGTATGAATAGAAGGTGTCTGACTCTGATTAGGGCCTCTGTCTGCTGGTATGGATCAGAAACATGCCCCTTTGGGGACAAGACAATAGCTCTGCTTGATGACAGAAGTTACCACAGTTACCACAGTTCTACCACAGGACGGGCTATCTCCTGCCATTGTCTGAGATGCATAAGGCAACACAGAAGGGCTTCAGAGATATCAGTTAAACCTCCAATCTAGAAGCCTGGGAGGAAAGTGTAAAGTAAATCTATTAATAACTCTAGAAGCCACAAGGTAAAGATCAGAAAACATATACAAATTTAGAATAAGTTTAGCAAATTTAACTTTGGGTCATTTGCAAGATATTCACTAAACTACTCCATGACATCGCTGCCTTGGCATACATTTTCTTTGGCCAAGTGATCGGAAACTGACACAAACACATGGACAGTTAGCAACCAGCAGAGTCCCCAACAAATGTTACATCCTGATCATCTCCCCAGTAACCTTTGTGAGCAACAATTGTTCCATCTCCCAGGGCCTTCCCCTTGGTGCCCCTGGGCGCTGTATAACTTACCGAAACTCTGCTTTGTGATTTGAGTTGACAGATCCAGCCTCACCTCAGGAAGCTCACCCACAGACCCTGATGACTTGTGTGCCCAGGTTCTGCCCCCTCTGACTGCCTTCTGCTTTTCCCTCCTATTTGACTCCTCCACGAGGCCCCTATGTGATGAGTCTTTCCTCCAGGACCAATGAGTGACCACGGTTCATTTTTTGTTATCTATTGTTGGCCATGACTCAACATCCGGCACCCCGTGCTCCACGCAGAGTGTTAATTTCACAAAATCATAATAATTATACAGAATATTCACCAACAACGTCAGAACACATATTCTTATTGAACTGAAAGAACATCAAAATTGAACATCATCTGATCCATAAAGCAAAGCTTGATGAATTTCAAAGAGCTGATAGCACATAGAATAGGTTCTTTGGGCACAGTGAAGTTCAAATAGAAGTTAAGGAGAAAAATATTAAGAAATTCATTAATACACCTTTGATTACATGGGCTAGAGATGTAAACTTAATGCATATTAGGGTGGCTTTTTAGAGCAAGTGACTGAAACCTCATGATGTAACAAGATGCGAGATGCTGCCAGTGTTTGGCTTCGCAGGATAGTTAGGTCTGGACATACACACACGTTTGGATGGACAGGAGGATGATTCATGAGCTAAGTCTTTATTTCAAAACAGAAGGGCATTATAATAAAAGAACATAAATGAGTGAAAGAGAAAATTAATAGAGAGGATAAAAACATCCAAACACTGACCTTTTGGAAAGTCTAATGAATTTGCTAACTTGGCAAGAGAGCACGAGAACAGAGCAGACAGACATAATCCACTTCAGGAACCAAAAAGAGGCCTTATTACAGAACCTGCTGATCTCAAAAGGTGGTGTGTGGAAGAACAAGCGCTGGGAGCCTGTAACTTCCCAGGCAGGAGGAAAGGACAAAGTTCCAACAGCCTCTGAAGCAGGCTGCTTTCTCCTGGTCATGACTGCCCTCTGGGGTCCTTAGAAACCACCTATCAGCTGGCCAGCAATGGCGACCATGAAGGTGGACAGAGGGTTGCTCGCCATTCTGGTCCCACTCCTATCTCTTCCTGTGTCCGCTCTAGCCCCATCTTTAGAACTCTCCCTCCAGCTGTGCCCCAGGCCCTGTGTCCTTTCTGGGTTCATCAGCAATGTAGAGGTGTTCAAATCCCCATGGCTGAGGCAGGAAAATCACCCCAGAGCAGAGCATCCTCATGCATGTGAGCAGCACAATATATTTTCTGGTCTGCTCACTCCCACTGCCTAGTTCTCATCCCAGGTAGGGCACAGATTGAGCCCACAGTTCCTTTGAGAAGATGCTGACTCATTGACAGGGCAAAGATCACAGCAACAGGTAGCCCTGGTCGAGAATGCATGCTGACCCGGGTCTGAACTTCCCCAGCCTCTGACCCTGTCCCATGCCCATGGCCGCCATCTTTGCAGAGTCCACCTCTCGGACTAGCTTCATTCTTGTTCCGGGTGTTTTCTTCACCCAGCCCAGGATACAGCTATGACTCTCTCCCTTGCTAGTCATGGCCAGTCCTCTTGGAAAGTAGGCTAACATGTACAGAGGACAGAGATGTTCTGAGGTCATGGGTTGCAGTCAAGGTTAGAGGTAGCCATGTTTTTCACCTCAGTGCTGCAGGACTCTGTGCCTATCAATATTCCAAATAGTCCCTGGGACTCTGCCAATCTTGGGATGCACAAGAGCACAGTGACTGGGCTCAAGGCCTCCACCCAGGCCTTAGTGGGGCTGAGCTAGGGCAGGAGGAGTTTGCCCTGGAAATGTGCAGGAGACAGAGTGTGCTGCACTCAGGCCCCTGGGTTCAAGATATACGTGACAAGGGGCAGGAAAGACAATGTCCCGCTCTGCCCTCTGCTTGCTGGAGACTGGCGGGGTGGAGAGGAGGGACTGAGCAGAGGTGCCAGTCAGCAACTCAGAGCCTCTGTGGGGCAGGACTACGTGGGGCGAGGAGCCACAGAGCCGCAGCTACCAGCTTCTCCCACTCTGTGCTGAGTCTGCTGCTGACAGCATGCTTCCCAAGTCAAAAATGATTCTGGGGTTCATTGTGCTAGGCCTTTATGCCTGCAGCGGCAAATTTGTGGACATTGCTAAAAGCACCACTTACTTCACCCTGTGCGTGGAATTTGCCGTGTTTCAGTACAATGAAGCACAGCCAGATGAGTTTGCCTACAAGCTGCTGTGGGTGCGACGCAGTCAGCAAAAGGTGAGACCCTTACCCTTGCTTCAACTCTTGTACCCTATGACCCTGCAGCCAGGTGTGGGGGTGAGTTTTTGGGCTGCAAGAAAGGGTAATGAATTATTAGTGGGGTGATGTTATTCTTTTTTAATACATTTGTGGTGCTCCAAGTTTCTGTTTTATTGTTTTGTTTCCCTGATGAGTGGACCTCCTGGAATACTGGGGAGAAAGAAAGTTGAACAGAGAGGAGAACATTCAAGGCATTGTGAGGGATAGAAAGAAAGTGCTCTGTCTCTTCCAGTTAAGAGAAGTGGGTGGCCAGAGTAGGCCCAAGTGACAAGTAAGGGAAGGGTGAGTTGGCAAGTGAAATGGAGGAAAGGCAGTTGGGGAGGGAGCTCAGGGAGTTTCCCCAGTGAGGACCTCCTGCAGCGAGTAGGCCCGCCTGGACTGTACAGCAGAGGACTGGAAGGGGCAGAGTAGGCAGGCTAGGGACATGCTCTCAGGGCCCTTTATGTCATCAAAGACACTGAACATGACACAAGTCCAACTGAAACTGAGGAAGGTTGGGGCAAGAGTGGTCGGCGCAGGCAGGCAAGGCCTTGGTGAGGTGAGGAAAGGGGGATTGTTCAGGAAAGGACCCTCTTTGACAGGCAGGGCTGGAAAACTTCAGCCAGGTAGAGTTCGGCGACCAGAGGGAAGAAGGGGAGACAGTCCTTGGGAGGCTTCTGGACCATGACAAGTCACAAGACTGCCCTCACACAGTGGGCCCTCAGACAAGCTGTGACCAGGATGCTGAGGTGCGCTGATTTCTGGGCTATGTGGTAGATGTGCAGTGCACCAACAGGGGGTGTGAGAAGAAGAGCAGGGGTGAGGGTGGACAGAGGCTTTTGCCCTGACGATGCCCTGAAAGAAAGGGTGATGGGGGAAGAGGAGAGAGGGCAGTGAAGAGATTTGGGCAATCACACCACACTTAGTACTCTTGAAACAAGCCATGGAATGGTCTAGAAGGCAGTTGGTTATTGAGCCTTAAAGTTATAGTTTTGGGCTGATAAAATTTTGGTGGCATTAGCATCTGGTGATGCAAGCAAAATGCTGGGTTTTTTTTTGTTTTTTTTAAAACCACTTCCTGTTCTTTTGACAAGATTAAAACTACTGTCCCAGAGTATCTCTGGCCATGCTCAGATTTACATCCCTGATGAAGCGCTCTGTAGCAGGCATGATGCCCCAGAGCACACCCCTTCCCAAGCAATGACCCTTATTGTCCACACCTCAGCCCTAGACCCAGGAGGATCCTGATCCCCCAACACCAACGCTTTTGCTTGTCCACCCTAGCTGAGGGTCAGACTGACTATGCATGGTGCTATGTGTGCATGTATGATGTGAGTGTGTGTGTGTGTGTGTTTTGTGGGCACAAGTGAGTGTCTTGTGTCAGGTGCAGGAATTCCTGAGATCCAAAAAAGTCAATGTCTTAGGCAGTTCCTGGGTGATTAAGCTCCTGGCCCATTTTCTTTCCTCTGTTTAAGGAAATAAAGTCATACCCTTCACTATCTTCCAATAGCAGTGTAATGGGCACCCAGGTCCTGCCTGCTCTACAAACAGCCACCTGGGTGGACCTTTGCAAGACAGTCCCCTGTGCAGCCAGCTCCCATATGAAGAGACAGTGTTCCCAGAGCCTCCTAACGCCCCTGTCTGGTTGACCCCCCTGACCCCCACCTGGGCAGGCTGGCTAAGCTGTGAGCTGATGGCCCTGCTGCTCGTTCTCCAGAGGAGGCTCCTCTGTGTGTTCTGGGTGTGCTGATGCGCATGCGTGCAGCTGAGTGGGCTGATGGTAGGATGGAGAGCGGGTGCCGGGAACCTGCTGTCTGTGTGTCCAGGGCGCTGGCGCTGTGGCTGCAGGTGCTGGGAGCAGGAGTGTCCCAGGGAAGGCTGTCATGTGCATATGGACAATCTTTTGTGAGAAAAGGGAAATTAAGAGGAAAAAAGTGAAGAATGATAAGAGAAGTTACACAGAAATTACATCTAATGATCTGGATGTACTTGTTCCCATCTTTTACCTACTTTTCTCTGTGTTTCTCTCTGCTTCTCTCACTAGTGCCAAGCAAATATTTCAGTGTAGTTTCTACAATTTCTTCTTGACAGATATTTAGTTGGACCTATTTAATGGATTTGGAGATGGGTCGCACAATTTGTAAAAAACATGATGAAGACATAAACAACTGCCACTTGCAAGAAGGCCCAGGAAAGAACACGGTTTGAGAATCAGTAATATCAAGAAGGGCTTATGGGAGGAGGCTTGGGAAAGGCTCCAGGAACACACCTGGACAGGAGAGGGGATCTAGCCCCTCCCCACCAGGTCTGAGGGTCCCCAGAAGGGGTCAATGTTAGAAGACAGTGTTTCCAGAAAAGCAGCACTGAGTCCAGTGCTTACAATGAGCTGGCTGATTATATAACCTTCTCTCTGCATGGAGACCCCCCTCTCCCCAGACTCTAGGTTTCCTGAGACCTTGGGGTTCAGGCAGATTTTGTCCCTCTGTCTCCTCATTCTGTCTTTGTTCCTATTTTTCTGAGTTGGTAGATGGTTTAGTTTGCTCAGATCTCTCCCTTTTATCGCCGAGACTATAAAGAAGTTCTGGTCAGCCCAATTTGTCATTCTCTGAGCTGATGCTTAGCCGATGGCATCTTGGATCCGGGGGTGGGACTCCGTGGGCTTGGTCCCCTTCCAAGCACAGGCTGGGGAGTGGTCTCCTTTTGAGATGGATTTGCAGCTACTGCTAAGTGTGGGGGGAGGGGTGCCCAACAGGACTACCTCCTTGTATGTGCCAGCTCCCTCATGTGGACTCAAGTGGGCAGGGGAGAGACCCTAAGGGTGGTAGCCCTATAAGGCTCCTCTCAGAAGCTTCCAGACTCAAGTAGATGTATTCAGCAACTTCTAGCCATCCTTGGTGGAGAGGAGCATTTGAAGCCTTGCCCCAGGCCACAGTTTTTGCTTGTTTGTTTGTTTATCTTTCCTACATTAGAGATCTACTGTATCTTGGGTTCTTATTCTATGCTAAGTGTTTCTAATGTGTTGCATTTTTAAATTTTATCTTATTTTTTCTTTTTTTTTTCAGGTGAGCTGTACTTTTGTGGTGAATATCATCCCTATACCAGTCCACTTCACCCTCTTGAATAGCACCTGTCTTCAGATAAAGATTGAGGAGGATTCTGCCTTTACTCAGGGAACAGATTTCTTTTACTATGAAGATTGACAGATTGTCTATAGGCCTATGTCTGTTCAGCACTAGAGAAATTAAAGGCATCTCAGAGCATTTTCTTGATCCCATTTAGTTTTTGTTTTTTATTTTTTTTTTTTTTTTTTTTTTTTTTTTTTTTTTTTTTTTTTATTTTCCTTGGGTGCTGCTGCCAGTTAGGGGTCAGGAGAATTGGTCATTATTGTCTTACCTTGGTTGCAGGGGCAGGCTGTTCAGTGTCAACTCCTTAGCTCATTGAGGCTCTCCATACTGTTTCATGGATATTATGTTTACTAATTCATTCATTCTTTTCACTGCTCTTTGGGCTATCTACCTATCCATCATAGTCTATCCCATCATCCATTCATTATATCTATCAATCATTTGTCCATCCAATCACCTTTTCATTTATACACCCATTCACCCATCATTGATTGATTCAGCCTTCCATCAATTAATCTACACATTCACTCATCAATTCACCCACCAATTATCCATGAATTTATCCCTTCACCACCTATTATCTATTTATGAAATGTTCCATCCATCCATTCCTCCATCCATCCCTCCCTCCCTCCATCCATCCATCCACTTATCTATAATTCATCCTCTCACTTGTTAATTCATTCCACTATCCCCATGCCCCTCATAGATCCCACTCAAAAAGAATGTAGACACACACACACAAAGAATGTAAACAATTTTATAGGAATACACACCTGCATCACCTCTGCTTCCATATCTGGGACCAGGTTCATAGTAGGTAACTGTTCCGCAAAGGGGAACAATTTGATGATTGAAGATTATGCTGGCTTTGGTACCCCTCACTACCATCTGCACCAGGAGGTATGTTGCTTACAATGAAGTCTTTTCTAGGGCCTCTTATGATAGCTTAGAAGGAAGCAGCTGTAGTCTCCATGTACCCACCTTCCCTACAGGTATCTATATGCTTCCATTCTGCCCAGCTTCCTGAACAACTCTCTCTTCTTGGGTCCTGGTGGTGAGCATCCCTGAAGAGCGAGAGATGGAGGGTGAGGGGCCTATCTGGGGAAAGGCAGTGTGGTAGCCATGAAGGAATGCCTCAGAATAAGAGGCCGAGAGGTCTTCCACTTCCTTTATGCATTTCTGGGCATCTGATTTGAATGCTTCCTAGTTAAAAGTTTGCCTCTTTTCTGATTAACCCTTTTCAAGAAGAGGTCATTAGAGCTGATGGTACAGGATTTTACAAAGACATTTGGAGACAGCTTCCTGGGCACTGTACAAAATTGGTGGCCTGGGTCAACTTTGGCTTTTGACTAATCTTTATATAGAAAGTGTAACATTTCCCCACACTTGAAAAGGAATACATATAATTTCATAAGGGCAGCTTTGTGGTCAGTGAAACTGGCCTATTGTCCACATTGGGCAATGAAAACACTCAGGACACTCAGGATATACAGGATGGAACCATTGTTCCTGTGCTAAGGAAAGTTAGACCACTGGATCACCCATGAACTCTACCTGGTGTTTCACAGGTGTACACCTTCACCTCAACTCCTAATATACCTTGAGAAGCCCTAATGTCATGCTTCCCCCCCATACCATATATCAGTTGTTTTCTACTTTAATCCAGATAAAAACCATCTTTTGTATCTTCTAGAGACCACGCATATTCTTCATCTCTACCACAAAAAGTTGTTGTGACCTCACATCAGACATACTGAAAGTCTTCAGGTGATTGGCATTTGTGATCGAGGAATGCAGAATGTTGTTACAAGCTTACCTTAGAAGGCTCAGATGTGCAAATAGAGTTGTTGTATTTAGACCTAGAGATTAAAAGGCAAATGAACTCTTATGACTGAGAAAAAACTAAATTTCTCAAAGTCCACAGAAACTGAAGACAATTATGTGGATTTAGGGAATGGCTGCATTTTGCAGAAGTTAGATCCCCAACATTGGGTGAATAGTAAAACTAAAACTAAAAGCGTACCAGACTCTAGAAGACTTTATGACTCTTACGTGTATGTGTTCATGTGCCAGTCTATAAATCCATTCCTTCCTTCTCTCTCTTAACTCAAAACTCTATTTTCTTACCTTGTAAGACACATAAACAAACACATAAGCCTTAGAAGCAGAGAAAATCCAACAGGTGTTTTGACCTTGGTGGTTAATTAACAAAGAGTTGCATGTCAGTTGATAGAGTAACCTAGAAATCCTGGGTGTTAAGACTCTCTGCGTTTGAAGCAGTCTCCTGGGCTGCAGACTTGGGGCTAATTATTGATGACTCTCTTGGGCTGAGGAGTTAATGAGTAACACTTGAAGAATGCAGTTCAATGAGCTACTTCCCAGCCTTCATGGACTCTCCTCCTGATGAGGTCTGTGGCCTAAAAGCCACCCTAGGCTATGAGAGTCAGTGAAAACTCTGATTCCTGAGGACTCACATTCCCAAGGGTAGAACTCTATTTGCTCTCAGGAGCCAAGGCTTCCCTTGGATCAAATTTAATGCTGGTGATTCCGGAGGATGTATCCTGACCCCAGGGATAGAAGGGGTTGAAACCACACTGGACGGAAGAACAATGATGGATAAACCCTGTAGATTCATCTTTTATGGAAAATATTAAAACAAAAAAGTCAAATATGAATGAATACCAAAGAAGGAGATAAATTGTGAAAAAATCTTGTTGCACACATGTAATACAAAGCATTAATTTCCCTAATATAATCCTAAAGCTCTTGATACTAATAAGGAAAGGAAACCAATGCATTAATACAAGAAAACAATACTGAGTTTATCAGAATATCTGCTTAACATCAATCAATGAAAGACTTGCTTTTCTATACAGTCAAAGAATGACTAGGGTAAGAGTAAAGAGAAGAATGTAAGGATCATCAAATTATAATCTGAGGACTCACAGAAGTATTTCCTGGTAGCTGATTAAAAATGTAGAGTTACAGACTTTGTCCGTGATCTACTGAGTGAAATTCTGTATTTTAATGGGATTCCCAGGTGACTTACCTGCACATTAATATTCAAGGGGTACAGATTCAGGCAACTGATTCTTGACTGTGCTTTGGAAACAAGGGAACTTAAAAAACGTCCTGAGACTTTTTCAGAGATTGAGTCTTCAGTGGGCAAATGCTTTTAATATATAGCAAAATACATAATACAGAAATACATTACTAGTGACTAGAAATTTAGCAATATATATGAAATTTAAATTTGTGTAAACTTTTTGCATTATTCCTCAAACCAGTCTTTAGTTACGTAGCAATACTCATGTGGTTTCAAAAAGATATTAGACAAGTCAGGGAAATGCAAATAAAAACCACAATGAGATACCACCTTATACCAGTGAGAATGGTACAAATTTAAACAACTAGCAACTACAAATGTTGGCGAGGATGTGGTAACAAAGGAACTCTCCTACCCAACTGGTAGGAATTCAAACTGTCCAATCTCTTTGGAGAGTTGTGTGGAGGTTCCTCAAACTAAAAATGGAGCTTCCATATGATCCAGCAACTCCATCAATTCTTCTCTTAGGAATCTACCCAAAGGATTAAGTAAAAAAAATTAATTCAAAAGGACAACTGCACCCATATGTTTATTGCAGCACTATTCGCAATAGAATAGTGAATATGGAAGCAACCCAGATGCCCAAAAGTAGGTGACTGGATAAAGAAGATGTTTACAAAATATTCCAGTTACACAATGGAATATTACCCAACAATCAAAAAGGATACACTCATGCCCTTCATAGCGACATGGATGGAACTGGAAGAGATTATGCTCAGTGAAATAAGCCAGAAAAAAAAAGAAAACTATAGAATGGTATCAATTATAGGAGTAATATAGGGAAACCAAATAAGCAATCAGAAAAAAGTAAATATAATAAAGTAAAAATCAAAATAATCAGGCAACTATAGATCAGAGACATTCTGTAGGGGAGGCAGAGGGAGAACCAGGACAGGAGTGTGAAGAGTACAAAGGACTATTGTGATGGTGCATGGGGGAATTAGTGGTGGGAATTTCAAGGGGAAACCATACCTTGTGCAAAAGTGAAGGATGATGTAATGAATATATTAAAAAAATAAAATGAGAAAAATATTAGCTAAGTATTGTCTACTACAGTATTGTTTGCAACAGCTGAAAATAAGAAACATGCAAAAACATCCATCAATAGGCAAATGGTTTAAATACAATATACTATGTTCAGACTCTATATTTTACAACCTTCCTGGACGATTAATGTCTCGACGTTGCTTCCTGTACAATGTCCCATTTCATGATCAAGGTTCTGTTCACTGAAAATAAAGTCTAACCAATAGTTAGACAAAGAGATACTCAAAATGAGGTTTGGAATCTAGAAAGCAGTCCAACAAGTTTTTTACTCTGTGAGAGCTGTTCCAATAAACCCAAGTTGAATTTCAATTGCATAGGTAAAAACAGTGAGCCACTGACATTAAGAATGTAATTATTCTTGATAGGATGGATTTCTTGTTCTCATCGCTCTGACCCAAAGATGTGCTGACATGACGGGAAAGCAATGTGGGATGCAGTCCCTTCCATTCTAGTGAATATATTTCAGAGAAGCAAAACCTGGTATCAACTGGTAAATCCCATTTTTATCTGAAAAGACTGATTTATACCTTCAAGCAGCAGATTCCTCCATACAAGATCAATGGAGTCTGTAGGGGGACTTTGTTCATTTATTCAAGAGACCGGATGAAGGGGAGGTGCCCAGAACTTGCTGGACAGCAGTTTTGGATTTTCACAGACTGGCAGAGTCTCAAAGAGCCCAGAGGCTCATGGCTCATGCATGTCCTTCTGCTAAGGCACAGGTCTGGGCATCAGTGTGGGCGTGTAACCCTTGCCTTGGCAGGACAGCAGGGGAAGGAGAGAGTGGCTCAGACAGAGGGCATCCAGAAGTCGGGCATTTAGGAGTCAGAATCCTGGCTCAGGTGGACAGGGGAACTCCAAGGTGTCCTCCTCCCCTCAGGGCAGAGGCAGAAAGCCTGTGGCTGCTGTGTGTGAGCTGCTCAGGCCAATTGACATGGGATTACATCACAAAGTGTGACCTCCCTGCAGGGCAAGGACACAGATGGTGACCAGACCAGTTGTCAGGAGCAAGGATAGCCTCTTACCTGGACATAGGCACAAACTGGGCGCTGGAGAACCACAGGTTGGGGTATAGAGCAGAACCCAACCCACCCAGAGAAAGGTGCAGCTGGCAGGTGGCAGCTTGGAAAGTCCACGGAGAGCCCAGTAAGCCAGGGAGCTTCAGCCCAGCAACACCTTTTATGTTCACATCCTGTAGACCTGAGACACAGAAACAGGAGTGAAGGTGAGCTGCACAAGGCCAGGTGTGGCACATGTGGGAGTAAGTGCTCTCCAGAAACCTCCCACTCACAAGATAAGGAGGTGGGGAGGCACACTCCTTAGTTGCTTTTCGTTGGGTGGGTTTCTGGGAGGACAGGGGCAGCCATAAAAGGCGACCCTAATGATTCTGTGTAGAATTAGCTGGGTTGATGCTGTCATGGCAAGATCTTTGAATCCCTAGGGACAGTAGTGGCCACCTCACACCACAGCAGTTCCAGCCCTGAGAGGAAGAGGAGGCTCTCTGTACCCTCCACTCCCGACTGAGGATGAACAGGCCCCAAGCGTGCTGTCTGCTCCTGTTCACCATTCTGGTGGCCCTGGTAGTCAGCCCAGACCCAGAAAAGAATAAGATCAAGGTGCTGAGGGAACTGAAAGTCGTCAATGCCTCCAATGCCAATGTGAAGCAGTGCTTGTGGTTTGCCATGCAAGAGTACAACAAAGACAGTAAAGATAAGTACCTCTTCCAGGTGGTGAAGATAGCGCAAGCTCAGCTACAGGTAAGGGTGTTCTTGCCAAATGTGCAGATTTGCATAAAGTAGTGCAGACTGAAGTCAGGGCGACAGACTGGACAGGTGAGAAATATCGATGTTCAGAAAACCTAAGTGTGTGTATTTCAGTGTACGTGCAGTGATGTGTCCCCTAATGCTGGAGCACTTCCCTTACCTGCTTGAACTGGGGTTCTAATTCCTTTGCACGTATTAACTCACTTCATTCAAAAACTGCAACTCGAATGTTCACCACCAAATATATTCTAATGAATATATTTCAAAGAAGCAAAACCTAGTATCAACTGGTAAATCCCATTTTTATCTGAAAAGACTGACTTACACCCTCAAGCAGCAGATTCCTCCATACAAGATGGATGGAGTCTGTAGGGGGACTGTTCACTTAACAAGGAAGGGGGAGGTGTCCAGAACTTGCTGGACAGCAGTGTTGGATTTTCAAAAGGACCAGAGACAGCTAGGATTATTTTGCAATAATACCTCTGTGGACAGTATTTCAGCTTATACTTAAGACATGGAAGGTGGGATTGTGAAGAGACACATGGTGATATCTGATGTATACGCTAGTAAGATACCCCTACTATATTCTTTAATTCTTTTAACATATATTAGAGACATTCAGATTTTCTGTTTATAAAAATGTTTTCCTCTCACTGGGCCATGAACTGCCTAAGGCTGGGATGTACTACTTACTTAGGTTCAAACTTAGCTGATGGTCCCTGGAGTTTACAACATTTGACTATTGTCATGATAGGGAAAAGGCCCTTGGTATTGGAATTCAGCTGATTGTACTAGTCTTGGTTGGTTGGTTGATTGGGGGATGTCTGATTATTGCACTGTAGAATTTGTAGGAATGTGTTGTGGAGACATTCAACACATGGGTTGTTTTGGGCAGAGCTAATGTTCTCTATGCTGTCTCTGCTAGGAGGAGCTGTGCCGGGAGGCATTTATGACCTCAACTGTTTGAATCACCAGCCCCTTGTTGCCATGACTTGCACCTTGTTGATGATGACTACCCTTTATTAATTGGTTATACTCAACAACCCATTCAGAAGCTCCCCAGCTATTCTCTGAAATAAAGGAATGGATCCTGGGTCTTGGAAGTTTCCTTTCCCCATTCTCAGTTTTTATTTTTGTTTGGACTCAAGTCATATAGATGCAGCAAGATTCATTACAAGTCATGTCTATGCTAGTCTCTATAGATGGGGTGGGTGTGGTCAGAAGTGATCACATCCCTTAGGAAGCTGGCAGAGTGACTAGAAAAAACCCTGAAGCCAGGAAAGTGAATTGTGATGTCTGTCCTGATGGCAGGGTTCACAGAGCTCAGGAAAGGTTTTCTCTGATAGTGTTGATCACCAGAGGAGTTTGTAAATATCCCACTGCTCCAGCTACATCCTGATAGATTAAATGAAGATCTCCGGTTGGGACCCAGGTCTCAATTGGTGTTAAAAGCCTATAGTTGATGCCAATCCACAGTCAAGGTTAAGAGTGATGGTAAGGTTGAGTTCTCTCTAGGGTGTGATGCTGAAGGTGCACCCTAAAAGGGATCTAGGAATTATAGATAAGTAAGTAAGTGGGGAAGTGTTTTAGTTTGGGTTTTACCAGAACTACATGCTACTGTTTGAACTCAAGTTTAAGTAGTGTATTAGGGAGACCATCTATGGGCATGCCCGGAAGCCAGAACAGAAGTGAGAGAGTATAGGAGAGTGGACGTGGAGGTGAGTTCCTGAGTCATTGACTACCAGTGGGAAGTTGGCCTTGGCTTCCCTGGGAGCCTCATGGAGAGGACACAGAGCCTTCCTGACATAAAAGGGGCTGCATATAGGGAGCTGTCATTTACCTAACAACTCCCATCATTCTCTGGCTGAGATCTTCTCTGGGAGCCCTTGGTTCCTGCTGATGGCTGGAAGCCCCCTGGGCAGACCCCAAGAACTGGCAATGTGTTCAGGAAGAGCAGGAGTATGGGGCACCATTCATAGTAGGGAGGATTCAGGGTGTGGGTGTAAATGGGGAGCAGTCAGGCATGGCAAGTGGCCAGTGGGATGGAGTGTGGCCTATTTTAGCAATTCTAAGGTGCCAGTAGGACTGCCCAGGGAGGGCAGAAACAAGACTATGCCAGGCCTCATAGGCCATGGGCAAGACTTTAACTCTGTCTTAGAAAAAGCCAGGAAAGCATAAGGCCAGGGTAGTCTTAGGATTGTGTGATCAGTTTTAGAACTATTGCCCTGTTAACTTACTTTTGTGAGGAGTCAGTGAAGATCTCCATGTAAATAATGGCCTCCAGCTCCCACAGTTGAGGCTGATATTTTGGGAATCATTATAGAGTAATCATCTGCCCTTTCATGGCTGCTTCTACAGAGGGCAGAGACATGAGCAGAGTGGGGCATGCTGGGTAGAGATGTAATCTCTGATTTTGGATGCCTTAGCTTGAACATGTTCAACCACTTGCTAGAGCATTACACTTAGTTTTTCTGTGCTTCATTTTCTTTACCTGAAAAAAAAAATGGGAATGGCAGTTTACCCCAAAGGGTTGGTGTGAGTTAACTGAGTTATTGTTGCGAAGTCCGGAAGAACAGAGCCTGAGAGAGCAAGGTACTCAGTGAGTATTACAGCTATTTCAAGTCATAAGAAGTTGGTGATTGGGTTCACCTCCATGGAACTTTTCAGGTTCCGTGAGCACAAATTTAACAGCTGAACCAAAGGGCTAGTTGTGCTATTCACTTCTTGATGGTATATAACTAGATTCTCTCCTCCACTAGGCCAGGCAAGGGCCAGAATCTCCCTTGTTACTTCTATAATACACAGCTAAACTTTTGCACACCTTTATCACAACCTTATGAAAGGCTTGAAGAACTCCATGCAGAAAACTTTGATAGAAAAATACAAGTGCAATTTACTTGGATCCAACTCACAGACACCAATTTCATCTCTTGCTATGATCTTATTTTTTTCTTTTTAAAAAGTTTTATATACATATTTTAACATTATTCTTCATTGTGTACATATTTTCAAGTCAGTTTTAATTCCCGTGGACTTCCTACCACCCACCATGTGCCATCACCATGGTCCCATGTGCTCTTCCCACCCCAGTTTTGATCCTGTTGCCCTCTCATCCCCCATAAAATGTCTCTGGTTTGTAGCTGTTGGTTGATGTTCTTTTTTACTTTATTACAATTACTATGTATGTTTTCCTGATCCTTACACTCCTGCTATCAGTGAAGCCATCCGGTATTTTCCTTTTGCTTTCTGGCTTATTTCACTAAGCATGAGCCCTTTCAGCTCTGTCCATGTTTCCTGCTATTATCTTTTAAAACCAGATGGCATAGATCTAAATGGACTCCAGGAATAGCCTTAACTATATTCAAGAGTGAACAAACTCAGTAACTCATGAGGCTTTGCTGCAGTTCTGCTTACTAAGCACTCAACAAAGAACAAAAAAGACACACTGGCCTCTTAATGGCAACTTGTTGAGGAGATGGGAGGGGCCATAGGTGGGGAAGCCCCAAAGGCCAGGCGTTTCACCAGAGGATGGGCTCTGAGTGTGTGTGTGTGTGTGAGTGCATGTGCGTGTGTGCGTGCCTCACGTAAGCACAGTACAAGGGAGGGGTAGGCAATGTGGTAGGGGCTTGGGCTTGTCTCATCTGGCTCATGTCAACATGTAATATTCAGGGGCTGGGCAGTGGATGGTTCTGGACACATCCCTTGGTCCCAACCCTTCCGTCAGTATAAAGCATGACCTGGACTTTGGGATAGAAAATGGGATCCGGAGGCCACGCCCTCAAGGTGCTTCCATACTGGGAAAGAGCCACTTTCCCAAGTATCCAGCTCTCGGGAGTCACTGGTGTCAGTTTGCCAGGGAATCCGGGGCCATGGGCATCGCAGGCCAGCCCCGAAGGATGTATGGAGCCGGAGGTGGTGGGAATGGGCAAGTTCATGAGAGTGAGAGGCATCTTTTGAGTTTTTTTTTTTTTTAAGATTTATTTATTTATGTATACAGAGCTGGGGTATAGGCCAGAGGTGCAGGGGTGGTGAGAGGATTCACCAGAGACAGAGTGGGGAGTAGAACAGGCAGATTGATGAAGTACACTGCTGAGGGGAGCAGCAGGTGGGTAGGTGGGTCAGGAGAGGTCTGCTGCACCATGTGAGTCACCTCCGGGGCAGGGATTGAACTCATGCTGAAGAGGCTTTAGCTTCTTAGTGCTGTGCTTTAACCTGCTGTGCCATCAGGGAGGGCCCTAAGTTTTTAATATAACTTTTAAAAATAAAATTGTGTCACATTGCACATTGTTAATTGGCAGGTCACAGATCGGTTGGAATACTTTATCGATGTTGAAATTGCCCGCAGCACTTGCAAAAAACATTTAGAAAATCATGAAATCTGTGTTGTGCAAGAAAACTCCAAACTGGAAAAGGTAGGTGACAAGCCAAGTATCTTCAATGGTCCTGACTGCTCTAATCTCTGGACAGAGGAACTTGGGGTGATAGGAACCTCCTTTGGAGATCTGGATCTTTCCCAACATTTTTTTTCAAATTATCTTTATTGAAGTATAGTAGGGTAGTGTATTTGGGGGGGGGGCGGGTTATACAAATGTATATTTTCATTCCAAGCCTACCAGCAGTGCCCTGGCAATCCTCCACCATGCTTTCTCACAATACTTAGCCCCTGAGGATTTGGGAGAAGAGCACACCCTCCAGCAGAACCATCCTAGTGTTCGCCCACTCCTCCTGTGGGCTAGATGGCCTCAGGGTAAACTTTACCAGGTAAAAGATTCCCTCAGCAGCTTTTGTGGGCAGGAAACTTGTCAATACTTAGTCTATGCTCTGGGAGTCAAGGAACAGCATAATTGTTGCTGGTCCCACAGCTGCTGATTCTTGAGAAGGATCCAGATATCCATTCATTCACGCACTTGCTCCTTAAAGCTTATTTTGCACCAGGTTTTATTCCAGATGCTGAAGATTAAACAATGACTAAGCAAATAGTGCTCGTCCACCCAGCCCTCTTGCAGACCAGGCCATGAACTGCATGGCAGTCATGGGACACTCCAGAGACTACCACCAAAGGGCTGACTTGGCCCAGGAGCTTTGACTGCAAGCCTGTTATTTCTTTCTTTCTTTTTTTTTTTTTAAGATTTATTTATTTATTCACACAGAACTGGGGTACAGGCCAGAGATGCAGAGGGTGAGAAGATTCTCCAGGGACATAGTGGGGAGCAGAATAGACAGATTGACGAAGTACACTGCTGAGGGGAGCAGCGGGCGGGTCAGGAGAGGTCTGCCGCGCCATGTGGTCACCTCCAGGGCAGGCGGGGATCGAACTCATGCGGAAGTGGCTTAAGCTTCTTAGTGCTGTGCTTTAACCCGCTGCGCCACCAGGGAGGGCCAAGCCTGTATTTCTTTTCTTTCTAATTTGTTTCCAAAAAAATTAATTACATTTTTTTCTTACATCATTGTAGTCCCCACAGTTCTCCTGCCACCATAACACACATGAACTCTCACCATATCCCCTCTTATTCATCCCTCCTCTGTTTTGACATGTCAGATCATCTGTGACTAAACATAGTTTCATGTCTCCTCTCCCAGCCTGGAATCCTTTCGTCACCTTGCTCTGGCCCCAAGCCTCTGGTGCTGCGTTAATCAGGCGTGGTGTCCTGGGCATCCTATCTTATTTCTGATCTTAAAAGGAAAGCTCTGTGTTTTCCTTTTTTAACCATTAGGCATTGTGGCTTTTGGCTTGTAATATATTACTTTGATTATAGTGGGGTAGGTTCCTTCTATCCCCAGCATGTTTAAAGCTTTTATCATAAAGCTGTACTATTTTATCATAAATAGTATCAAATGCTTTTTCTGCATCTCTTAATATAATATTTTTATTTTTACTTTATTTGTTAACATGCATTGATTAGTTTATATATATTTACCCACCCTTGCATTCCTGAGATAAATGCTTTTTTGAGTATGATATATATATAATATTTTTATATACTGTTGAAGTCTATTTGCCAGTATTTTGCTGAAGATTTGTACATAGATATTCCCTAGGGATACTGGCCTGCACTTTTCTCACGATGTCTTTGTCTGATTTTATATCAAGTTGATAGTTGGTATCATAAAATATATTAGGGAACATTTCCTCTTCTTGATTTTTAAAAACAATTTAGCAAGATAAGTCTAGGTTCTTATTTCATCAAGGTGTGGTAGAATTTGTTTCTGAAGCTGTCTGGACATAGGCTTTCATTTGGGGAAGATTTTTTGTTTTTGCCATTTTAATTTCTATTCTTGTGATCGACTCCTCTGTTTCTTCCCTGTTTAATCTTGGTAGAATATATTGATCTATAAATTTATTTATTTCTTCAACCTCATCAAATTTATTGATTGTAATTATTTACAGTAATGTGTTAGGATGCTTTGTATGCCATCTGTGGTAATTTCTCCTCGTTCATTTTTGATTGTGTTTATTAATATTTTCTCTTTTTTATTTTGTTAGCCTAGGTTCTTGAAAGTACCTCCATGTTTCCAGTTGAATATTCAAAATGCCCCCTTTTCCTAAAATATCTACCTACCTGTCTGTCTGTGTGTCTGTCTACCTATCTTACCTACCTACCCATTCATCCATACACTCATTTATCCATCTACTCATTCATCAATCATGCATCCACCTACCTATTCAACTGGAAACATTGAGGTACTTTCAGGAACTCTAATGCAAATGGAGTCAAAGAAAATTTTGTCTCTGCTCAATTTTTAAAAATCTGCTAAAATGGAATATAGAAGTTTCTTTTCCCCACAAATGCACAAAATATACTGACTCAAGATGATCTTATAAGCAAATTATATCAAGCCTTGAGAACCAAAAGCTCTTTTCACCTTTAGCTACAGAAAAAGATGGAAAGTTCTCATTCTCATTATTCATTCTACCACACACACATAGAATACTCCATTTGTCATTTCAATGGTGTTTTGAAATGTGGAGAAGGAAAGGTTCATTGGAATAAAATATGTATTATACCCCAAATCCTCTAAATCACTTTTGTCTTGATTTAAATTTTATTTGAGAAAAGGGAATGACTTAACTAGTAAAATACATTACCTTATATCTGTCATAGAATTGTTTTGTTTACATTGTAGAAAATAGTAAAGAGAATTGAAAATAAAGTCAAGTTTACATCTGATCTCACACCAAAATGTGATGATTGTTCATACTTTTTGTCTATCTGTGATTGATAATGGAAAAGATCTTCCCATGTTGCCAACCTTCCCCTCACCCCCAATCCCAGTAATTGCTGATGGCTGGGACACACTGCAGCATCCAGCTAGCACGTTCCTGGGGTATTCTTTATTGGGCTGTGGCTGGTTTTCCAGAATATTACTAAGCTAACACCTAGGAATAAGACAGGTTGTTTCTTTTGCTTTTGGCACACTGCTGACTTCACTGTCATGGTGGTCTTTTTCAGAGAGCATTTTGCAACTTTTTGGTCGGTGCTCTGCCCTGGAATGGAGAATTCATAGTGATGAAGAAGCGGTGTTTGCCTCTCTAAAGGGTTCTGGAACACACCTCAGACTCTGTTTCTACCTTTCTCTGTGAAAAGAACAATGGAAAATACAAGTGTTACCAACATACTTTCTTCGTGTATCCTCTCTGCTTGTCATTTTGTTGTCTACTTTTCTATAATGTGGTGACATAAGATGAGCAAACCCAATTTCTCCCTCCTAGTCTTCATGCAACAATTGCACCTTTGGTCAGTTATATGACCAACCACTACGAATAACTTATTACTGAGTGTGAAGGACAGAGTGAGGTTTGATTCCATTTTCCATGACAAATCTAAGGAGTCCCTTTTTGATTGGGCAACAATCCCATACAGAGCAGTCTGGACTCAGGGCGTGCTAATTCATGCTCTTTTGGTCCAAGGGCCCTCCTTCTTCAGAGTCCTGAGTAAATGGCTCACCCAGCCAGGAAGACCCCCCAACTATTCCTCTCTGAATTTGGAGAACTTGGTGCTTCTTATGTAAATGTCAATATTAGTCTCAGAGAGAGAAGGGAGAGGGCAATAAAGCCTAAAATGTAAACTGTGCTGTGTGCATGTGTTGGTACATATCTGATTGTACAATGCACCTGAGTGCGTATGTTTTTGTTGGGGTGGGGGGTGGGGAGAGAAGAAGAGAGTGATAGAGAGAGAAAATAGTGACTAGAGAGTGTGAGAGAGAATTGGAGCTTGGAGAGATATGGGGAAATGTAGAGGAGGAGCTAAAATTCCCTGAAGAAAGTAATAGCTGTGTCTTTTTTTTTAAGCAAACAAAGTGAAGGAAAAGATAAATAACTGGGATTACATCAAGCTAAAAAACTTTTGCATAGTAGAAGAGACATTAACTAAAACAGAGAGACACCCTACTTATTGGGAGAAAATTGTTGCACTCCATACAACTGACAAAGGGCTGATCACAAAAAATCTACAAAGAGATCATACAACTCAACAAAAACAATGTAAATATTCCAGTAAAAGCAATGGGCAGTAGAGCTAAAAAGACACTTCTCCAAAGAGGAAATGCAACTGAAAAACAAGTATATGAAAAAATGGTCAATATCACTTGTAATCATGGAAATGCAAGTCAAAATCACAAAGAGATACCACCTTACACCAGCAAGAATGGCACATATTTAAATAGGCAACAACAAGTATTGATGAGGATGTGGAGGATAAAGAACTGTCTTACACTGCTGGTGGAATTGCAAACCAATCCAACCACTATGGAAAATTGTGTGGAGCTTCCAAATGACTCAACAATTCCATTTCTAGGGATCTACCCAAATGGCACAAAATCATTAATTCAAAAGAATACCTGCATACCTATGTTTGTTGCAACACTGTTTACAATAGGTACGATATGGAAGCAACCAAAATGTCCCCAAACAGATGATTGAGTGATCAAGAAGATGTGGTACATACAAAAATGAATGAAGAATGAAATTCTACTCAGAAGTCAAAAAAGATAAACTCATCCCATTTGCAGCAACATGGATAGAGTTAGAAGGGATTATTCTCAGTGAAATAAGCCAGAAAGAGAAAAAAAAATACCAAATGGTTTAACTTCTAGGAAGAATATAGGGGGACCTAATAAAGGATCAGGAAAAAAATAACACTAATAGTAGTAATAATAATAAACTAGCAGGCAACCATAAATCAATGATATTCTTGAGGGAGGGAGAAGAAAAGGGATCAAGACAGGGGAGGGAAGAGCACAGGGGACTATGGTGATGGTGCATGGGTGAACTGGTGGTGAGAATTTCACAGGGAATACACAATGATGTAAAAGATAAAAATAAGAATAAATAAAGTTAAAAAATACTTGTGTCTAGTGGGGAATTATTATTTTTTAATTATTACAAAAGTTTATTTTTATATCATTTTGCACATTTTTTTTTCCATCTCGATTGTAATCCCCGCGGGTTTCCCATCACCAAATCACCCATGTGCCACCACCATAGTCCCATGCAT